ACCCTGAGCCGGTGAGATTTGAACCGCTGACCTGCTGATCTAGCAGTAGCCTGCAGTGCTGCATTTAACCACTGCGCCACCTTGGCTCTTAGGTGAGTTGATTATCTGTCCATGCAGGAGGCAGAAGCGGGGGGAGGAATGTGATCTGGACGTGGGCTGTGGGAAAGCCTAGAGTTGGTGTGCTGAAGTGGGCGGCCACAGGAGGCTTGTATTTGCATGGTGGCACCAGGAGCAGGTGGAGATAGAGGCACAGAGGGGGAAGGCAGGCGATCCAGATGCCCTGCATGGGCTGTAGGGAAGCCAAGAGACAGTAGGACAGAGGGGGCAGGCAGATGCAAGAGACTCATGTTCACCTCTCTCGGCTTGTCTGCGGCCTGTGCTGTCGAGATCACCTGCCTTCCCCCGTACCTCTGCCTGCATCTGCTGGTGGTGCCTTCACATGAAGATGAGCTTCCCATGGCTGGCTGGCCGGTCCAGCCCACTAACTCAGTTTGCCCCATGATGCGCAGTGCATCCAGATCGCATCCCCCCCCCCCCAATATCTCTGCTGCTTGGACAGGTGATCAAGTTGCCTGCGTTGCACGAGCTGCACAGCCCGAGTGCACTGACCAAGGGGCTGGCAGGCTGCAGCAGGTACTGGACACTCCTCCCCCTAGCGCTGACCGCCTCTTGTGTGCACACTGGAGGAGTGAGGCACCCAGCCAGGCTGATCATCCTGATGTTGTGTTTCCCTGAAAATAAACACTATTTCTTATTTTGAAGGCCCTAAAAATATAAGACCGGGTCTTATTTTCCTGGAAACACTGTACTACACTAAGTAGTTGAAAAACACATCAGAAGAAAGCAGTGGCAAACTATATCTGTGGACAAGTAAAATGCATGGATATATCCATAAAGTCACTAGGAGATGAGTTTAACTGAACGGATCTGCTTTTTACTTGAATTGTGTGGATTGTCCAACTAAAAAAATCTTGGTGCAGGGCTATTTAAGCATCACTTTTCCAGTTTAAATTATTTCAGGAAAAAGGTGTAGTAACTAAGACTTTCCTTGAATGCATGTATACTCATGTATAGCGGCAATAAAAGGAGGTATAAATATGCATGTAAATGAGTGAGAAAGGCAATGGAGAATTCTCTTATAGTTTAAATATAGGCAATCCTATGCAAAATAATTTAGAATATAATAAGACTTCTATGTAAGGAACAGGATGTTTGGTTAAGTCCCTTAAGGTTCATATTGAGAACTGATTGTTTTTGAAGTTTGAACAAAAACATTTAATGCAACTGATTATATGGAATACATTATAATTATTTCATGCTATTTTATTTAATACAATTATTTGATATCTCTCTTCTTCCCCAGCAACGTCCCAGTTCTTGTGTGGCGCTTTCAATTAATATTTAAGTGTTACGTTTCAGTTTTTTAATAATTTTTATTTATTTTAATCCAATTTTATGCCACCTATCTACCCTACAAGGTGACTCTGCTTGTCAGTCTGATTGGGCTCATTTACTATTGTCTAGGGAATGGTGATATTAGAAGAATGTTCAGTCCCAAAAGACATCTTGAAGAAACGTACACAGTTACCAGATCAAGAGGCATTGAATTCTATAGGGAACTCACAAACTTTTCTACAGAGGCAGGATGTTTGGCCAGAACATGATTTTGAAATGTCACCCAGCAGTCCAACTTTGCTTCTTCGTAATATTGAAAAACAGGTATTCAAATGAAGCTAACACAATGTACATTAGTTAATATACTTTAAAATTCATCTATGTTTTTAACTCATAATTTATAAAAAAACACTTCTACTTTTGTAAGTATTTCTCCCAGATGAAAAAGTGGTGACAATACAGGTTATCCTTGAGATATGACAGTCCATTCAATGAACATTTGAAGTTACAAAGCACACCTCAAATGCTAAATACAAATCCGTTTCAAAGTTTCAACTTTTGCAGTGTCCCCCCCGCACCTCCCCCCTGTCTTCCCGTGGTGCAATCCTTTCCTCTCTAAGCCAACATAAACTATTACAATTTCTTCTTAGCTCCGCTGGAGCTAGTTTTACTAGCTAGAGAAGAAATCATGGTTTAACTTGGCTGGGGAGGAACGGATTTCCATGGAAACAAAAGAGATCAGATTTCTTCTTTTTTCTAACAGCACTAGCTTTACGCTAGTCTTGCACTGGTAGAACAAAAAAAAAACACTGATCTCTTTTGTTTCCATGGTAATCCTTTCCTCCCCAGCCAGAGTAAACCACTAAAATTTAGTGTAAAACTAGGGCCGGTAGAACTAAGAAGAAATCATAGTAGTTTATGCTGGCTGGAGAGGAAAGGTTGCAACAGAAGCAAAAGAGATTGGATTTCTTCTTGATTATGTCACATGGTCCAGCAAGGGAGCAGCCTTCTCTATCCCAACTTCCTGAGCTCGTCAAAACATAAGTCAGAACAAAACATGAAAGTTGACTGGCTAACCTACTTGCAAATCAAAGCTAAACACAATAATGATACTAAATTATACGGCATCCAAATGGAACAATACAAATTAGATAAAATAATCCAAAGCTCAGAAAGAAAGATGATAGGGAGAATATATAAATTTCTTCTGAAATATAAAATGGAAGAAATTGTGAAAGAACAAATGGTAAAATGGACACAGAACTTTGGCTACAATATTGAATTAGATAAATGGGAAAAATTGGGGGGGACAAATTTAGTATCATTATTGTGTTTAATTTTGATTTGCAAGTAGGTTAGCCAGTCAACTTTCATG